GCAGGAAGGCCCGAATAATTGGAACTCTAATATTTTGAAATGGGCTACTGGTTTGATTGGAAGCAGTGATCAATCAAAAAAAACTAAAGACACGTCTGTGGTGAGTTCTTAATTAATTTCTTCACCTTCTTCATGTGCTGATGTAAATTATATTTCGGACTCTGGCCTTACATTTAAATAGTTTTAACTTTTAGGCTATTCACGTGATGTTTTACATGAATCTTTTGCTTTCAGGTCTTTCTTTTTTTTTTTTTTTTTGGGTGTTGGTAGGAATATTTTTCTTTCGTGGGAGGGAATATATATATATATATATATATATCTGTTGTCATAATAGACAAAAGTTGTCTGTTGCTATCACAAAAGGGTTTACTCAATTATGTTGGGAAGTTTTTATTTATGCTCCTATTGATAATGGGCAAACTTATGTCGTTTGAATGATTTTGCATGTTCTTAATTCTAATCCTGATTCATTCTCTGTAGAAGCAAGGAAAAGGAGGGCGCCATGGAAAGACAATAAATATTTTCTCCATTGCCTCTGGACACCTGTAAGTATAACATTACTGGAGATATAATCAGTTTCTTTTGGGTGGTGCAAGTTATATTTGTGTCTGTAGTGGCCTGTACCCTATTCTTAATCTCTTCGCTCTGATTTTCGTGGGTCATTCCTTTTGTGGTCCAAAGAAGGTGGTCTGGCTTTAAACAGGGTGTTCATTTGGTCTCTTTGGTGTGAGAGAAATGGTCGAATTGTCTGAGATATAGCCACTAATTCTGAGGCTTCCATAGAGTTGGTTGCTTTAATTCTGTGTTGGTGTAAAACACCGTTTTTCTGATTAGTCTTTCATCTTTATTCACGACTTTTAGTATCTCATCGATGACTTCCTTTGCATTGCCGGGTATGAGCAGTTAGTGATTAGGGGAATTCAAGTCCTTTTATTTCATTTATGCAATGAACTTGTTACTCTTCTATCATCTCTTTTGGGCAGTGAAATTTCGTTACTTTATGCTGTCTGATTTTTTGTAAAATGGTCCACTTACTGATAATATTTCATGGCAGATACGAACGCTTTCTGAAAATCATGATATTGAGTGTCCTAAAGAATACACATCGGCCTGTGAAATTCTGGTTTATAAAGAACTACCTATCTCCTCAGTTTAAGGTTAACACAACATTGCATCTCATGGGCCTTTTTTTTCCTTCATTTTTGAAGAATATTCCTAATGCCTATGCTCTTTGGTGACATAATCAGGATGTAATTCCACGCATGGCTGAAGAATATGGTTTTGATTATGAACTAATCACTTACAAGTGGCCGACTTGGTTGCATAAGCAGAAAGAAAAGCAAAGGATTATTTGGGCATATAAGATTCTATTTCTTGATGTTATCTTCCCTCTTTCGTTGGAGAAGGTACCTTGCCATCCATCAACATGCTCCAAACAACCATGATTTCCTGTAGCTTATTTTTAACCAGAAATGAACCTTTCAGTTATTAATAAAAGATCAAAATGTTAGTGTAACTTATTCAGTCACCTGTTGCTTGCCTATTTACCCATCTAAGAAAAGTATTGTTCGTTTGCGAAAACCTGCAGGTCATTTTTGTTGATGCTGATCAGATCGTCCGCACAGACATGGGGGAACTCTATGACATGGATATCAAGGGAAAACCACTAGCATATACACCCTTTTGTGATAATAACAAGGATATGGATGGATATCGGTTTTGGAGACAGGTACATATCAATCTCCTCTCCTGTTATCAATAACTATTTTTCTGTAGCGCCCTGTTCTCACAATTTCTTTTCTTTGACAGGGATTCTGGAAAGAACATCTACGTGGAAGACCATACCATATAAGGTATCTTATCTTGTGGTTGTTCACTTGGACCAAATGGAAATCCTTTCTTGTGTAAATTGAATATTGTTATGAAAAAAGTCTAATCTTCATCTTTTTTCAAACCTCACTTTCCTAATAGAGGTTCAACTTTTTAAATTTCTGGAAATTGCTAGATAGCTTGCATTTACTAATAATTTGCTGCATTAATATTTTACATTTCCTACAGTGCTTTATATGTTGTTGATTTGAAGAAATTCCGAGAAACAGCAGCAGGAGATAATCTTAGAGTTTTCTATGAATCTCTAAGCAAGGATCCCAATAGTTTATCCAATTTGGATCAGGCAAGTAAATTTTACATCGTTTGATGTCTTATTAGTATACCATATGATACTTCATAGTTTTGAGATGATGTTCGTCGAGTAAATTTTACATTACCTGATATATTTTGTCCTCGTTTCATGGGGCATGGCCATTTATCATATTACTGGATATTACTCTATCAATATTGAGGTAATGTGTGAGATCCCCACGTCGGTTGGGGAGGAGAACGAAACATTCTTTATAAGGGTGTGGAAACCTCTCCCTAGCAGATGCGTTTTAAGCCCGAAAGGAAAAGCTCTAAGAGGACAATATCTGACAGCGGTGGGCTTGGGCTGTTACATAATGTTTATAATATTTATTTCTAATTAATGTTGATGTGATTGGTTATCTTATCTGAAATGTGAGAAACCTCCAGTGATGTTGACATACAAGTGGCATAGGATCTTTGAAGATCCTATTGATTAGAATCTTGAAATCTCCCTTTGAGAATGAAGAAAATGGGTTTTCTGTTTAACAAGAAACAAAATTTTTATTCATAGAAGAAAAGATTGAAAAATGTTCAAGGATACAAGCTCTGGAAGAGAGTGAAAAGAAAGCCAAACAACAAAAAAAGCGAAAATCTCTAAATATTCCAAGAGCCAAGAAATAAAACCTAATTCCTAATATTGGCAACGAAGCTGGGTAGGAACCTTTCTGTCAATGTTCTTTATATTTTAATGAGATGAAGTTATACATTTAGACAAGTAATTTAGTAAGATGTGACAACACTCTAGATTCCTAATAGTTATTGGGGCCAATAGAAAATGAAGTGAACAAATTCTCGGACGAAGCTAGGTAGGTACCTAAAGGATAATGAAGCAACAGAATGGGCCGAATTAAGCCTTGACCTTGCCCTAGTAGTATTGTCAAATGAAGTAGATTCGTTAACTTGTCTCTCTAGCACTGATAGAGTATTCTCTAGAAAATCCTTATGATGGACAAGAGAAAAATAGAAACAACAAATCCTACACTGGTAACGACAGTTTGGAAATTATGTCACCCTACACTAGTAATGACAGTTTGGAAATTACGTCACCCTAAAAAAGTGAAGTTCTTCCTTGGGGAAATAGGGGAAATAGCACATAAAATCGTCAAAAAAATCACAAAGCTACTTGTTTATGCAATGCACATGCACTCAAAATTTCTGGACAACGATTCTCAATATATTCGGATGTCATCTCATACCTTCTAGGAAGGTAAAGGATCTATTGGACATGACCCCAACGTACCACCCCTTCAAGAATGCAAAAACCCTACTATGGAAAAATCTCATCATTACTTTTTTTTGAAACTTGTGGAAAGAAAGAAATCAAAGAATATTTGCAGAAAAGACAGACTTGTACAAACTCTTCCACATCCACATATTTACTAAGTTATATCTTGGTGTAAACTGTGTTATTTACTAAGTTATATCTTGGTGTAAGCTGTCTAATATTTAACCTCCTATAGTTATACCTCCCGCGTTGTTAATTGGGAAGGTCTTTTATAAACATCATGATATCGCATTCTTTTCTTAAATTTCAATCATCTATGAAATGGTCTCTTATAAAAATAAATAAACTTTTCCCATTTTAATTTGATCATTGAATATACTAGGTTCGAAATTCCCAATTTTGAGGAAACTTAATATGTTACAATGGTTTGAATTTTTATATATTTCTTGCTTTTTCAGGATCTTCCTAACTACGCCCAACACACTGTGCCCATTTTCTCTCTACCACAAGAATGGCTCTGGTGTGAGTCATGGTGTGGTAATGCCACAAAATCCAAGGCTAAAACGATCGATCTCTGTAACAACCCCATGACCAAAGAACCGAAGCTAGAGGTCCGTTTTTTGTTTCTTCAATTCATTTGTATCTTTAGAATGGCCAGATCTTGAAAGCTTTTCATCTCCATCTTTCATTGAAATTAGTCGCAATTTTCAGGGTGCCAGAAGAATTGTTCCGGAATGGCCAGATCTTGATTTGGAGGCTAGAACATTCACAGCTAAAATATCAGGTGATGCAAACCCTCAAACACCCGACTTACCGACCGATCAAACTGAAACTTGTGTGAGTAAGAAGCCTATTGATGAAGATGTGGAATCAAAGGCAGAGTTATAATGGGATAATTTAAGTTCTATCAAATTAGAGTGATGGGACAATTCTGCTTTCAATTCAACATCTCTCTCCTACTTCTACCCCATGTTAGTGTTCTTAGATTTAACTTGGAAGCCAGATGGATATTTGCCTCTGTAGGCTGATAAGAACTAAGGTCATACCTCTCCCTCCAATATTCTTGGAAGAGTTGTTTTATCCAGTTCCCTCTCTTCTCTACCATTTTAAATGCTAACTTGATGGAAAAAGTTGGCAATTTTGATAAAGACATGTATAGTAATAGCTGGTTTTGTAGTTTAGTATAATCACTTCTTACTGCATTGGCGTTTCCAAGAATTTTCTTTCGTTAATTTCCATCAGGAAACCTTCTGATGTGATGCTAGAAATTTGCTATTTTGCCTCCATATTTCATAATTTAAATTATGGAAATTCTTGACTATGAATTTTTCTGAATAATTATCCATGTTGACACCTTCCATTATCACTCCAAAACTCTCCCCTTTATAGAATGATTTGGATATAGATATGATGTCCACGTATTTTGACCTCGACCTCGACCTCTCATTTTATTTCAATTTTCATCTAGACGAAATTTTTTATTTATTTTTGTGATATTAGGTTTTTCTTATTTTTATATATATATATTCAAGAAAAAAAAAAAAGAACATTCATTTCAAAGAATTTTTATATGGGTTAAATGAAAAAGGTTGATATAAAGGACAGAGCAGCTCACTCAAAACTGGTCTAGAAGAATTTACACTTCTATAGCCTCTGTGTGGCCTAATAATTCCACTTCTAAAGCTGTCAATGCTTAAATATTTGGTTCTCTTGATTAGTTTTTGGTCATGTACACCTCCTTCCAAGACTTCCCATCTCAGGGAGCATCTCCTCCCCATGCAACATGCACTCCACGGGGACTGTAGTGTGTTCCAAGGGTTGACCACATATTAGAGTCATTTTTTATTTAGATACCCTTTCGCTCAGAAAACGTCGACCGAATACATCCATTGAGTTGCTACGAGAAGTATATTACATCACTCTTGTTTTCGCCCAATAAAAAAAATCAAGAGATCTTGTGTGATATTCCATGTCGGTTGGGGAGGAGAACGAATCATTCCTTATAAAAGTATGGAAACCTCTTCCTAGCAAACGCGTTTTAAAAACTTTGAGAGAAAGCCTAAAGAAAACAATATCTACTAGCGGTGGGTTTGGGCTGTTACATCTCGTATGTTTGATGATGAATGTGATTGCTCTTGTTGTCATCTGAGCATGTCACCGCTTCTCGTATGTTTGATGATGAATGTGATTGCTCTTGTCATCTGAGCATGTCACCGCTATGCACCTGAGGCCTGCTCAATGTTGGCGATATACTGAAGTTGCTGCTGTCGCCAACAAATGAAGGATGCCCATAAGGCACTGGCCGATCAGAGATTTGGGGAACTTCTATGTCCCCCTCCAACATTTTCAAAGCGTCCATAATGGTAGGCCTCAAAGCCACCATCACATGAGAACATAAAATTCCCACCGCAACAAACCTCTCCATTATGCCTTTTGGATTTGAATTAGAAGACCCTTCATCTTTCAGCAGAGAAGGATCTAAAGTTTCCCCTATTTTCCCACCTTTCACCAACGACCAAGCCCAATCCGTGATCAGAAACGCACGTGGCGACGACGACAAAGAGAAATCAAGAGCTTTCCTCCCACACATTATCTCCAAAACAACAACTCCAAAGCTATAAACATCACTCTTCTCAGTAAGTTGTCCGTAAAGCGCGTATTCAGGAGCTAAATACCCATGAGTTCCCGCAACTCGAGTTGTTAGATGAGACTGTCCTTCCCTAATCTGTTTAGCAAGCCCGAAATCTGCCACTCTCGCTCGCATATCTGCATCTAGCAATATGTTCGTCCCCTTGATATCTCTGTGATATATGGCAGGCTTCACTCCATAATGAAGATAAGCTAAGCCTTTTGCCACATCCAAGATAATGTTCTTCCTTTGAGGCCATGTCAATGGCTTCTTTACAGTTCCAACATGATCAAATGGTGAAAGAAACAAATGATCATCAAGGTTTCCATTGGGCATGTAATCATAAACAAGATATCTCTCACTTCCACTCTCATCATGATCATCATCCCCATCAATCACACAGCAACCTCTAAGTGGCACAAGGTTCCTATGCTTCAAATTACTGATTATTTCAACCTCATTGCAAAACTCTGCATTGCCTTGAAAATCTGATTCAATAACCTTCTTCACAGCCACCATACTTCCATCAGGTAATGACCCTTTGTAAACTAAACCAAACCCACCTCTCCCAATGAAGTTTTTTGAAGAAAAGTTATCAGTGGCCTTCTCAAGCTCCTGAATCTTGAACCAAATTGATCCAGTATTAGGCCTGGCATGTGGCCTAGACCCTTGTTCATCCAGTTCTACATCAAACTCTAAGCTAGATTTCTTGACTAATTTTTTCCATTTGTAATACCAAAAGCAAATCCCAAGCAGAACAAAAACGATCAATACTCCAATAGCAGCAGCAACAAGACCATAAACTAGAGCAGGATGTTTATTTTTCAATTCATTTTCAGTCAATTGTAGATTAAAGATGCAACCTAATGCACTACGTCCCTCAGGGCCAAATTCATTCACGATTCCAGCAGCATAAAGAATAGCGAAGTAAAAACAATCCATAGAATGAGATTTATTACCATCAATTCCAGTTAGAATCGATTGGACTTTGAAACCAGAGGCGAGACACGCATCACAACTTGGACCAACAAGTTCCGATCGACATCCAGAATCGAGCGGCGTGTTCTTGCCAAGCTTCGAAACCCAATCTCGAGTAGTTTGAATACCTGCACAGACATTATCGGATATCACAAACTGCGAAGGATCGAAGCAAAGCGATGCAACGTCGCCGGGAAGGGAGAGCGATGAGAGCTTTGATTGGTAATCGCGAAGGCAAGAGACGGAGGTTGCAAGGTCTGGGAGATTGAAAAGAGTGGTTTCTTTGAGGTGTTGGGCCAGAGAGATTCCATACAAGGACAAAAGGGTTTGACAACAAGGGATTTTGGAGGTGTCATTCATGGCGGCTTTGGCGGTGGCTTGGAAGAAGGGGTTTCGGCAATCAGTCGCATTCCATGGGATTCTAAGGACATAGTTGAGATCCATTGGGCAGGTGGGGTTGGCTGCTGAAGTTACAGAGAGTAAACAGAGAAGGAAGGTAATGAAAATCTTCATTGATTCCACTTTCTGCATCGAATCCTTTACTGGGTATTCTGGAATCGAGATGGGTTTCGTGGGAAAATCTGAAAAAGAGTGAAAAACAAGAAGACGGGGAAGAGGGGAGGGAGAGAATTGGAGTAGTTCTTGTTTTGAAGGGCACAAGAATTTTCCACCATTTTCGTTTGTGTGCGAGTCTTATGTAGTTGAAGGTGGGTGGAATGGAATGGATGGATATTTTGCGTCGTCTTCCACAAAATTTCATGATTCTTCGTGGAAAGTGAAAAGGGAGAGTAGTAATTGGGGAAGGATTCGATGGGATGAGGTAATATTAGTGGGGAAAGTCAACATGATTGATAACAATCGAGTTTGTGGAAAAAGACATTTTTTTTTCTTTTAAAGTTGCTTTAAATGCACTTAATGCTTCCAATCCATTTATTCATGAACACTACAAGTGGAAGCTCAATTTACATCAACGAGAGAATTTATTTCTTTCCTAATTTGACATATTACAAAGAATTAAATATATACATGTCGGGAGTATTTGAAGACAAGAAAAGAATAGATAATAGATGAGTGAAAAGAAATTTCTTACTGCAGAACTTATATTCATATTTTGTGTTTCCTCCATCCTTTCGTGTTTCATTTTACCTTATAAACACATATATTCAATTCAATATTAAAAATATACGTTTCTACTTTATATTTACTTTATATCTTTTTAAATGATTGAAACATCACTCACCTCTTTTTGTCAAAACTTTGAATTCAATAAGAACAAATTCTCCTTGAATTATTAGGCCATCATGTTTGATTACCAAAATGGTAAAAAATTAATCACATTTTTGGATAACAACTCAACTTAGACATCTAATCACCCTATAGTAATGATTTTAGGGAACTTCTAAAGTAAATGACTAAATTTAATCTAAAATTATAATATGAAAACTAGAAAATATGAACCTAACCTAATAAAACATTGGAACTTTAACGAGTATGGTATTAGATGAAGCATACAAATTCATCACAATGGCCTGAAGTAGATTTTTCTGACTGTTAGAAACAATAATAGAAGTTCAAGGTAAGCCTTGTAGTAACAGTCAATGAGATCATGTATCATTCTACCTACCCCTTCTTTTCTTCTTGTCCTTTGCTTGCCCGTCCCCGTCTCCGTCTCCATCTCCGTCTCGGCCCCCAAATTAATCTTCAACTTACATACACTCTTTGGGGAATATTAACACCTATCATGAAAATTCAACACTATTGAACATTTGGATTCTCAATGTTTTCCTCAGAAGGCAATCAATCCTTTATAAACTTGTCTATTGTTCCTTGCATCTCGGAAAATGGTACGTAACGAGTTAATACCCCTTCCTTAGCTACTCCTCTTACGATTCAAAACAGCAGGGAATTAAACGAATTCCCATTCCTTGGTTGCTCAAGTTCATGTTGTTCTGAGTTCTGGAGTTTGAATCCTATCGCGGGCTCTGTCAAGACTATCATTTTCAGTTCGCTCTTGAGGTCGGGGAACTTCTTCGGTCACACCTCTGGATCCATTGGGCATGGTTTCAGGCGCAGGCCTTGGATCAGGTCCAGAGTTTGGATCTGCATTAGGTGCACTGGGATTTCTAGTGTTTAACCTTGTGATATGCAACGTGGAGGCAAGAATAGTAGAAGAGGTAATATGGAAGTCTGGATGATGTATTTGAGATCGTCTGTTTTGCATGAACCTCTGCAAAGCCGGTACCTGTATTGGATGTGAAGATAATGTGCATCAATAGGCGATAGAGTGACAATACATATACCACTAAGAAGCCAAGGAAATGCCTACATAAATCTTTGATCCGACTTCCCTTAGAACTCAAGGACATAGTAGTACAACCTATAGAACATGTCTTATTAACAACCTATGGACCAGATCCCATACATGTAAGCTCCCAGATCCGACTTCACTTAGAGTGTGTAAATGGACTAACTCTCGATGTCATTCTCTCGTGTCATGTCCCGTAGATACGTAATTAAATGAAAGGAAAATAATGCACCTCAAAGCGGTTCCAAAAATAGAGAATCAAATGCTGCATAAAGGCTGCAGTAGTCGAAAGTGCCAAATATGAAAAACCTGAAAATATTGTGAAATGGAATTTAGGTTCAGGTTAACCACAGCCTATAATATGAGCCCACAATTGTTGAATAGATAAGTGGCATACCATAAGAATATGAGAAGAAATAAATGTGAAAAACCAGAAAATAGAGCAGAAAAAAGCGGGGGAAAAACTTCATCGATATCGGAGTCCGAACACTGCAGGAAATGAAAATAAAAACATTAAATTATGTAAGAGCTAAAGATATAAGTGATATATGTGTTGTGCACAGCTAAAAGTATCCATGATTCGACTATAAGCTCTAATATAGAATCGGTCCATCGGTTGATTGGATAAACTACAAGTGGACTTTTACATTAAGTTAGCACAGCTCCTTAGTATAAGCATCAGAATTTGGTTATACACACACTTACTGTCCTATAAAACATCGAATTATAGACCACCAAAACTGCTATCTTTCTTTAATTTGAACTAAGTACTTGCTGAGGTTATAAGAGCAAGATCCACAATGAGATTAATCTTCCGACCTTACCCACCACAGCAAGATGGCCAAACCAAATCGAGGAACTTCCACCTAATATCTATTTTAACTAAATCTAAAACATATCTAATCTAATCCTTAGGTTTTGATGAAATTTTTAGTGGATACACTAAATGTAGTATTCTTCAATCATACTTCAAACAACACCATTATTGATTTCTCCAATTGTCATTCCACTGGAGACATAATTGGATTTCATCAGTGTCATTCCACTGAAGATATAAAGTGTGTGTGCGCGCATGCGTGCATAGAGAGAGAGAGAGAGAGAGAGAGAGAGAGAGACCTAATAAGTGTAAATAATTCACTTAACCACACCAGGATCAAGACCATGAAAGCCAAGAGCTGATCGTCATAAAACTCAAACAGGAAAAATAGTATACCGATCATAATCTGCAGACAATGCAATAGATTATTAGCGAGAAAAACATCCATTTGGACCACCAAATAGTAAAAGACAAGAAATAGGCGTACATATCAACAGTAAAGCAACAATCTGAGTGCTTACTGGAACAAAGACAAGTGACTCAATTACATGCACAAAGATCAACTGAAACGTTGGGAGTTGATGTCGAGCATGGTGTTGAAGCTGCACTGCAATAATAAATATATATATATGTATAAAAAGAAGGATGAACCCCATTATATTTCAAGATCAATAAAGCCTTCCAACTCTATATGTAAGAATGGATGGACGTAGCAATAGAAAGTGTAGACAGATCAGATATTTCAGAAGTCAGACTGATATGAAAATTCCTGTCTAAAAGAAATATTTATGATGTGATCCGTTGAATGCATAACTCCACTTGATCAAACATTTTTACAACAGGCAATCAAAGAAAATTGTGATATAACCCAAGTTTTCAACAACAACAACAAAAAAAAAAAAATTTAAAAAAAATAAAAAAATCCAATGGCATCATTTCTGATGGCCCAACTTACAAAATCCCCATGTTGGATGTTCCATCATGGGGCCACAACTTTTAAATCTCTATTTCGTAATGTAAATATGTACAATCAGTGGCTCTGCATATGGCACCATGAGATGAGAAAGTATACAGACTTCTTAATGCATGTCAGGCATGCTATGGTAACTACCATCATCCTTGCCAAGGAAAACAGTGTTACAACATAAACATATTGAGGCTTAAAAGGCCAGTAGATAGGAGGCGCATGCCACACATGAAGATATAATGCAGTAGAAGACAACAGGTAGAAAATGAATTTTAAGGAACCTATGAACTTCTTTCCTAAAAAAATAAACCATTTTTCTAACAAGAAAACAAAACTTTCCAATGCTTTCGTAAAAAAAATGAAAGAAAGGAACCTGTAAACTTCAACATGCGAGTCTGTGTCTCCCTCAATGTAAATGATACCGACATAGTCGTAGTGAAGAAAACGAAGAGAGACATCATAAGCACACCACACTTGGTCACAAAGTAATCTGAATGGAAACAAAATGTGTGAACAGATACTTGTCAAGGTAGATTTCACAATCCAGAATCAGTATATCTTAACCCAAATTGCTAAGAAAATGACCGAACTGAAATAACTAAAATTAATGCACACATTTTAAAAAGGCTGGAAAAAGCTCCTAGAAGCCGAATGGACTTAATAAAATTTAAGCTAATTTGGTTGAGAACAGACTTGAACCCTTAAAAGTAGAACGCCATACACTCCTAAAAACAACAACCTTCCGGACCTAAACTCTACTGAATAAGTTCATAAAAACAATATAATCCTTCATCAGTTAATAACAGTCATATGAAAGAGCCATATTGATGCTGTAGAAAAAAGGATAAATGAATGAACCTCCAAATCTGGCAGGGCCCTCTGGCGGCTCAAATGCATAGCTAAGATTGTAAAACTCCTTCGTTTGATAATTGTAAAGATAGCCTGAAACAAATTTAAACTTAGCTGTATATGTAAATAAAGATATACATCCTCCAAAGTAAACAATAAAATAGAAGGTGGATGATTCCTTCAGTCACCAAAAGAAGGTGGATGATAGGGTCATGAAAAGTTTAAATGCTTGGATTTCGAAAGGTGAAGCGAAGGTAGTCAGAAACCGCCCCTTTAGATCTCTCTTGTGGCACCTGTGGAAGGAAAGGAATGCAAGAACTTTTGAAGACAGTCTTTTTTTTTCTCTCTCTCTCTCTTGCAGTTTTGTACAAAATACGACTTCTTGGTGGATATCTTTACACACAAATTATTTTGTAACTACGGTCTTTTGATGATTATTAATGAATGGAAGGCTCTCCTTGTATAGGCTTTGGGGGGGGGGGGGGGGG